AAGCTGTTTTTTTTCCTGACGTGCATGTACAAACTTAACAGCTGGAGAACTTTTGGGTGATGGGGGAGCTCACAACTTAAAAAAAAGCCAAAGGAAATCCTGATCGCCAAGATAGGGGTTTACCCCAGCACGTGTACCAGTAGTGAGAGCGGTGCTCTGTGTCTCAATCGCTGAGCCTACCCTGGGGGATGTCGCAAGGCCAGAGGTCTGTGGATGAAACCTTCAGCTCTGTGTCCTCTAAGGCTGTGGGAAGACATCAAAATAACGAAGATGAGCCCGGATCCCACGCATTGCTTAGCAAAACTTAAGTCTGCCAATTAGGCCCAGATTGTTAGGACATTTTGAGAGGACAGCTTTTTTTACATAGCCTCTAAGTTGAATCAAATTAATAAGCAGACAGTACACGAATCATTTATTAAGGGATAACTAGGATACATACTATAGCTGCTATAACTTTTTTTGGTTTTACACTTGGTTTGTCAGTATCTGGACATTCAGTGTAAATATTTACACCAAGTTCAGAGCTGTTACGATGCAATTGCAATGACTGGAATATTCCAGGTAACCTCTGTTACATTTAACACGGTCTTCTTCCTTGAAATGATCTCCGTTCGACTTGAACTGTATGGTGTGCTGGTCATAGACCTTTCGAAAAATGGCGACGCTCATGTCAACTGGGCACACTGTACGAACGTATACGTACTGTATACGGTCGGAGGCGAATGGCGAGCGCGGCGTAAATGCGTCAATTAGGTTTCGTTTCAGCAAGCCTGACCCCCGCCGCTTACTGTAAGTTTCTTCGAGGCATTTGACTAGAACTCACGCTATAACAAGGAGGTGGGGCTGTGAAGCAGCCGCGACCTCCTCGCCGGACACTTCCTCCGCCCGCCTGCGCTCTAGCGCTGAACTTGTCGCCTCGCCGGAGCGCAGCCAGACCCACTTGTGCCGGCGCAGACGCTGTTGGCAGTTGACACCGGACGGCCATGTCGCCATTGAGGAAAACCCACCTGTTCGCTGCTCTCCTGCTGGGCTGGCATTTTGGAGTCGCCGGTGAGGTGTTTTATAGAAATACCTTTTGTCTCTGCTTTGTCTCTCTCTTTCGAGATAGTCGGTGTGGGCTTTTGTAGTGTCGCTGCCCAAACAGGCTTGAGACACGTTAGCTGGTGGCGTGCGGCTCAGAGGGTCTTCGAATATAAGACAACCACAAAATTGATCGATCCGATAATGGTCAGGTGTCATCACTGTTTTGCTTTGTTCTCGTAAGCGAGGTGAGACGACGAGCTTTACGGTTCTCAATATCCGGGGGGCATTTGTGTTGAGCAGAAGATATATCGTTCATACTGTGTCGACAACTTCTATCGGGATAGCTTGTGAATTCCTATTTCAAAATGTTAAGATGAGGATATAAGATCACATAGTCATCAGACATGGAATTTTGAACTGATGTTTTTTTTTCCAGCGTTTTAATTGTTCATCCTTTTACATACTGTTTGCAATTTACAATGGAGACATTTTACACCTTCTTTGTTAACATTTAAGAATTTGAATCGGGTGACAGCTCGGTTTGTACTTCTACTCTCCTCATTTCCAAAGTCACAGAAAATTCAGCACGTTTTCGTAGATGAAAATACATGTATTGGCAGCTGCCTGTTTTAGAACTTTCAAATGACCTTGTACGGAACTTTGATTTTATTTTTATTGGAAAATGAAATGGAAATTTGGTTTTAAATTCCCTTTCGTGCTACGAGCTAGATTCCACTTTGAGAAGTTTAACGAATATATTACTCCTAGGACTAAACTGCGGGTTACATCATTATTATCATTATTTTTTTACTTAGCGTGTCATCTCTATAGATGCCCATATTTATTATTATAATTAATAATAACGTTATATATGTGTGTATTATACAATCAATTTACGAGAGCATTGAAGGGTATTCGGATTATAAAATTTCAAAAGACGTTTTCCGTCGTTTACCGTCAAGATTTAACTATTGTAAGTTTTGTTATCAATAGTCTGCTTTCAGAAAACATTTAGCTATCAGGATTTCATTTTAGTTTTTATATGAAAAAAAAACGAAAAAATAAAATACCTCTTTTGCTCGAATTTGACTGCATCTCCGCAATAGAGTGATAAATCATATTTTATTTAAATAGGATCTTACTCTGTCAGGTGAAAGCGACGCTATACTGACTTTATTATACTTTACAGTTATGTGCGGTGCAAACTGTTGCATTAAAAAGATAATAGATATATTTTTTTGTAATTTTTGAATGACCGTTTCTCCTTATTGCTGTTATTCTTGGCATGCATCGGTTTACGTGCAGTTTAAGAGTTATTTCACGAAATATGAACTTTGGAAAGAAGGTCTTTGTAGAGGAATGTGGATGTTTGTTTTGCGAATACAAAACTGAATATTCCAAATAAATTAATCTTTGAAAAGAAAAAAGGTACAACCTCCCCTCTCAAATTTATATTTTGTTAAAACAAAATCTGATTTAATGTGATTCTTTTTGCCAAAGAGGGTCTCGTGCGTATTTGTTTGGCGAAATACCTCCCGCTTTATGTTCTAAAAGCACGTTCTCACTTCTCTTAAAACGTAAACTAATTTCAACAATTTCTCTGAAATCCATCACAAAAACAGCCCTCTCCTGAGAGGCGAACTGTGAGAATGAAGTTCCGGTAACGACTCGGTTCCGAACTGGAGTGCCGCTACCCGCCTGTAACGTGACCCCTAACGTGAACCCCTGGGTTCAGCGGTACCTCTGGTTACTACCGATCCTGATCCGATTTGCTTGTCATGGGGGTCTGTGTGTCATCATGAATGCCTAATTCTAACGCGAGCTTGATTGGCTGACGGCAATTAATAATATTCGACGACCACAACCTGCTAAACTGACTGGTAAGGAGGTACCACCTTCGCCATTCCAGTCCACAATCCCAGACACTGAAAATGCTAATTCATTGGTCTGGTTTACAAGCAAGTTGGGTCTACCACTGTACCGGAGGCCTGACTTGGTTAATTAAACCACTTCTCATTTTCTTCTTCTTCCAAAGGAGTTCATGAATAAGTGAGCCAGGTGTCGAGCTCGGAGGACAGGTGCCGACCCAGTAGTTTAATCGAAACCCAGTTTCCATCTCTGGTCCCGGGGCGGAAGTGAGGATAACTTCTGTTCGTATCTTCCGCCTTTAGTTCCAACCGAGTTTTCCATCGCAGGCTAATTCGCTTTGCCTTTCCGTCTGTGGCAAATGTAGCTCCGGCTTCGATTAAGGTCTTGCGAGGTTTGTAATTGGCGTCGGCCTAGAACCAATTCTGTCTCTCGGAGCTCTCCTCAAACTCAGGCGTGAGAGCTGAGACCGAAGCAACTGGGCCGCTGCAGAATGAGGGAAAAAAGACTACTGGTTATTCCCATCTGTCTGTGGTGATCCCCTGTCCTTGTCAAGAGCTGTTTCAGCAAAAATAATAATAATAATAATAATAATTGTAAACGAGTCCAATTCTGGGCGCTGGGTTTGGGTTTGTTGAACCGGCTCCCTTTAAGTACGGAACTTCAGGAACTCAGACTGAGTTAGATAAGACTTTATTGATCCCGAAGGTAAATTATTGAATGTGCCCGAACCCCAAAAAAAAGTCGACCCCAGGTCGAAACAAGTAAGCAGATCAATTAAGGTGATTAGCACGCGAGGTCTAGAAAGAAAAACCTAGTGGTCCCCCTAGATTCATTGTGGAGTACCAGTGATAGGATAGGGGCCACGCAGGTCGCCATGGAGACCAGGAAGTTAGAAAGTACCTGGTCGCGGTCAGCGTTCAGCAGAATGAACATTCTGGGTTTGGCGGAAACCAGAAATACAGTTTTTAATTTGTAACGTTTATTTGTGTTTGCTCAAGACCATAACAACAGGACATCTCAGTTGTTAACTCAAATAGTAAATGACAGCTACTCTTGACTCTTAGGAGCGCTACTCTCAACAAAGAAGCTACACTAACAGTAAACGACACTATTGCAAGCGCATTAATATTTGCACATTGTAAGGACAAGCTCATATTTCTCTCTATTTTTGTTTTTCAAGACCCCTTTTCTTAAACGCTCTTACTCTATGCAACCGTAAAGTCTTGCAAAAGGGGGAAAAAATGTTTTCTGACTGCTTCCATTGGATGTTTAAAAAAACCAACTTGTCTCCTGCTGATTACGATTACGAAAAATACAATTGCTCATATTTTAGCACGAAATGTTATGGAGGGACATTGGAGTTCCGTTTTTCTCTTCCGGCCCTGGCTTCCGAACCGAGAGCTCAGGTTTTCTGTGCAGCTACAGGAGTCGCAGCGTTAATCTGCTCACCGGTTCCGGCTGTGTAATTATAATGGAGAACCGTGGAACTGTTGCGGTCAGGCACTGAAAATAATGGCTATATTCTGGGGCTGTTCCTCTTCTCGTTCCTGCGTTATAAAACTTAACACCCTCCATCTTGAAACTTCATGACCCCTTGGTGAGGATTCTGACAAAAACCCTTCAGCCAGTCTAGCCCGTCTAGTGATTAGTAGTTAACTGACACAAGGAGCTCCTTCCAGATGTTTCTTCCAGGAAATCGGGGCTTCGGCTGCAAGGACACAATCTGGGCAGCCTGTGCCACACCCCCGTCACTCTTTGTGTAAAGACGCGCCTCCTATTCCGGGTTTCAAATGCTCCTACCCGAGCCCCCTAATATTTCATTGACGAGAGCGAAAGGATGTCGCGACAGCATTTAACACGACGATTTTCGCGAGGACGACGCAGCAGAAGAGTGATCCCGCTAACGGGCTTTTGCGTTGTCCAGTTGTGTCTTTTGCCAAGCAACGTCGCAACCCCCAATTTCCAGCGGTCCACCCGCCACTTTGCTTTTCGAAAATTACAAAAAAAAAAGTTTTTGCAAAATACAAGATTATCATCTCTGTAGCTAAAATTGCTCGCGGAGCCTCTTCATATCATATCGTTAAAATCTGAACTCACCGCAGTTGCCGTGGAGAGTTCGTTACCTTACTCAGCTCACTCCCTCAATATTTATATATTTGTTGCATCCTTGTTTTTCCCCAAAGGGTTATTGAACATCAAATAATAGACAGGAGAAGAGGTATCGGAACAAAAAAACAAAACACAAAACAGTACGCTGTTTGAGAAAATTACAAAGCAGAACACGGCGATTTATAAGTTTTACATGCATCAGTTGTGTTTTTTTGCCTTCTTATCTTTTCGGGTTTTTAAGTAATGTTCCATTTCCACCTTTTAAGCACGAAAGAAAAAAAAATGAATAAAAAAAAGCATGAAAGAGGATTAGACCATTTCGGTCTGTGATGTGTGGTATCTAACCCAGTTTTGATAACGGATCCATTATAAGTGTTCCTTTTCCATAGTAGGTTCTGCAACGTATAACACTCACATTTAAGCGATTACAGCTCAAGTCTTGCAAGTCAATCCAAAACAATGTATGTTTTGTATACACGTGTACGAATAAATGTGTCCGCATTTCTTTCCCCGGGCTTACAAAACACACATACATCATAAATCATGTTTGAATCCGAAAAGTGTTCGTTTAACAAGATAAAACCTATCAACAGTGTTCAATGTTATTCCTTAATCCTGTTGGTAAGGCGGTATCTGTCAGGAGTTGTCCAAGCTAAATTCTAGTTAATAATTTCAAACATTGCATTCCGGAAGGATGTACAAGACGGCATAGAAGCAGGGTTTACGTGGCTTCTTTATTATTGCATTTTTTACATCGCTCCCCCCCCCCACACAATCCAAGAACAGGTTAACTGTAGAACAAGGAAAGTCAACACTGACAGTTAAAATGACCTCTGAATGAATGCAGACTGCGTGCTGTAGTGCGTTTTGTGAGAGCGTGTGACGTTGGACAACGCGCAATGTCGCACACGAAGAGCTCAGAGACCTCGAGATAATCCCATATACTTCTAATCGACATTGGATGGCTTCTGTAACATTCTTAAGCACAGCTAGTCTGATGGCAACACATTTTAATACTTCAGGGCTGTTCGGCACAAAATGGAACTCTGTTACGATACAACCGTACAAGAGGAAGCTATTGCACGCGATCCGAACAATTCTGCAAATTGGATTTAGACGCAAATCAAGAATGAAGTATGCTTAGCACTTTTTTTCTTTCAAACGTTTATTTCCGTTGCAGTTTTGCGCCTCAGCTGTGATGCGTCTTTTTTTTTATTTTCGGTGTCCTCACCGCCATTTAAACATGATTATATACAGGCCGTCCTTTTGAAACCTGAATTTCTGTTACACTTCTGAAGGCTGTTTGTTTAGGTGATGGTGTTTGTAGGCCGACCACAGACCTGCAGCAGTTTGTACCATTTGAAGATTGCGGCTAGTCGTCTTGTCGAGAACGACCGACTTAACCATCGTCTTTTTTTAACATTGTGAACTCGTGCCTCGTAAGCAAAAATACATTCGCACTCGAGCCTGCAGCCGAGACCGTGTAGAGAGAAAAAGAAGAAAATGATCCACTAGAAAGACAAAACAGTCTCAACACCCCCGTACAATCACGTTGAGGTGACCCCTACTCGAGACAAACTCCTCTGAAACAGAATGGCCAGTTTACTCTTTCGCACATTGGCGTTGGATGGGAACATCCAATAATGTACAATAATGAAACCATCTCTTTCCAAAACCTGATGACAAATGGCAATGTCTTCACCAAAAACTCGGCACCAGATGGGTCTATTTGTTTTCTTTCCACCTGATACGTGTCTACATTAATTTATTTGAGCTAATTAGCTGATCCCGGTCCGGAAATTGCAACTTTTAGAGAGAACTGCGGAATTCTTTTCGGAAAAAAAATCAACCACTGGACGCACGAATGGCAGTATTCTGTAATCCCCTCAAGAACATGTCGCCAGAAAGAACAGCAGAATCTCTCCTTGTGTATTATACCTTAAGTTGAGACCGTTCTCCCGCATGTGTCTTGAAAACTCTTGTTTCTGAAGGCCACGGCTAGGGAGAAACACTCCCCACAGGGCTGAATTTTAAAGTTTCAGTGCTGTACTGGAGAAAACATCGCCGTTTCCCAACGTTATGCGAAGAAATGGCAAGCTGTATCTGATTTAGGAACGCCTCACGCCGAAAAGCGTTAAGCAATGACAGCTCGCACGAAGACAATTCTCACCACTCTCCTATTCGTGCTAAGACATTCAATTCGGCGACACGGCGGAGAGCGTGACACCAATTGATGTCAGTGCCTATCCACGTGTGGCTCAGTGGGCGACCCCTCAGTTTACACACCGGTGGTAATAGTCCGGGGAAAGAAATAGCTCCTTGTAGATTCTGAGGAACTGAATCAGGAACTCCCAGGAATCGTAGCGGGAGGTAGCTGCGTCAGCAGGCGTAGGCTGAAAAGGTTCAAGTAAAGGTTTATTCCCTGCTGAAAAGAGAAGAGAGAAACCACAACGTTTCGGCTGTGGAGCCTTCTCACTCACCCGAAGAAGGCGCCACAGCTGAAACGCTGTGTTTCTTTTCTTCTCTTTTCAGCACGGAATAAACCTTTACTTGGTCCTTTACTCCCAGGAATCTCTGCGTCCCCGACTGAAAACCTGTGGTGTAACTCAAAGATTGACAAAAACGGACGTACGACATCTCGAGATCCTTGTAAACGGAAAACGTGTAGAGAGAGATCTATGTTTTTTCCCGCACAACTGAACACCATCAACAAAGGTTTTTTTTGTTTAAAAATGGATTTTGCGGTAGTTCTGGCCAAATCCTTGATGGCTTTTCTCCTTTCTCCCCAGCTGCGCTCCAAGAACCGCAGATCTGCTACATCCTGGATGGGATTCTCTTTGTCTACGGGATCGTGCTCACGGTGCTGTACTGCAGACTGAAGGTGAGGAGGAGGAGGAGGAGGGAGAGGCTCGTTCTGCATCATCACCCCCGGCTCATCCTGTCAACAACAACAACAACAACAACAAAAAAAAACTCCATTAACTTCCCTACCACATTCCTAGCTTGACATCACATTGGACATTGCTACCCTGTCGAGTCTTGTGTGTGATTTAGGACAGGCAGTAGCGAGAGCAATGCTTTCCTCACTGCTTAAAACGTAATCAAGAAGGCTAATAACACACAGGGAGGATTTAACTGGAAGACTCGGGTCTTGAGAGAGCAGCGTACATGTCATTAGATGTTAGATCCCAGTGATTGGCAAGGAGGGATGGACTATGTGGGGAGGAGTTGGTGTGACACTCCTAGATGAGGGATTGGCAGTCTACCAGTGAGGATTAGACAGTCCAACCCCCCCCTCACAGCGAGGAATGAGCTGGGGAGCCGCAGCAAAGGTGTAGATGGAGTAGCTGGAGGGGTGTGAGAGAGGTGAGCAAAAAGAATTTATCAGCGGAAATGTGTGAGATTAGAATCTAACCTTACCCCTGAGCTTCTGCTACAAACTCCATATAAGGTGGTCCAGATACGTCTCAGAGTCTTAAAATGTAGCGTCAGAAAACGAGAATGAATTAATTGAGCTTTGCGGAGTGTGAATGTGAAGATTCAATAAGACATAAAAAGATGGAAGCAGTTATTAAAACTTAGGCATATTTAATTGTGGGAGTGCTGTTCTATCGTGCTGCAAAAAAAACCTACACATTTATCGACCATCTGTTTTTTCTGGAGCTGAGGAACAATGGGCATGAGGACGTGTGTGGAAGAAAGCAACGTTTAATTTGGGGATTTGACTTGACACTCCAAAGTTGCATAACACGTGACGCCCCCAGACTCTGAACAGTTCTGTCTGAGCCTTCTGGGCTCCCGTATTGCCCTCTGAGACTCAGCCAGTGCCAAGACACTGTTAGAAAATGTTCAAGAAATTTCTACTACAGAATAAAAAATGACAAAAGCAATGACAACGTTTGCGATTGCCATGTAGCCTTCTCGGGCATAATTCACAAAGTGTCTTACTGCGTCTCTACTCTACTTTAAACTTGATGAATTAGATATATTCCACCCGAGCAACTGAAATTCAATTTATTTTTCGATGTGGCGCAGTTCAGACGCCTTTAGTCTAGCTCAGTGGTTTTTAACCTTTTTTTTAGCGCCCTCTTGTTTCTCGTACCCCTGATCCAAAAAAAAAAGCTGAAACAGATCATAACTATAAAACGAAAGAGAAATAATGATATATTTATTTTAATTTCGCAGTAAAATGAGAAGAGTACAAAAAAATGTACACTTTTTAAAAAAAAGTTTACCTTAAAATGCCTAGGTTTGATGAAACAAAGTAGTTGTACTGACGTGTCTGTGCTTAAGTTTGTGTTTTTGATTATTTATTTTCTAAAATAAAAGTCTGGCATCCCCAGAAATTGTATCTCACACTCCAGGAAGTACATGCATCCATGAGTGAAGAACCACTGTTCTAGCTGGTAAAATTATGTCCTTTTCAAATTCTCCCCTGGCCCTTACCAGTCATGGCCTCCTAATAACCCCCCTCTCTGAACTGGCTTCATCACTCTGCTCTCCTCCCCACTGAGAGCTGGTGTGTGGTGAGAGGACTGGCACACTTTGGCTATTGTCAAATCATATTATTAATATTATTATTAGGCCAGCTGTTGTGAGTCTGAACCCTTGGTTCCTTTTAGGTTCTTAAACACGTTTCTTTTACATTCTTCTCCATCAGCTGCTACCTGGAACATCCGGCAAGAAGGGAGGAAGCACTTCTGAGGTAAGAAGGGCGGGGATGTGGGTCATTCCGGACGAAGGGATACTTGGCTTCTCTCATCTTTGACACACAACACCTCTGTGTCTCTGTGTGTACCTCAGGATAATGGAGCGATACGTTTCAGTGTGATGGTAACCGGATTAGGACCTTGAATAACCTCTGTTAAACCACTGGGAACATAGTGATAATGATGATGGTGAAGGGTCAAGGGTTTTAGCCCTGAGACACAAATTCTTGTCTCACTCCCTCGCTATTGTGCCATTTTCTTCAAATTCTAAAAATCAGTGTAAACACAGCAGAACCCTTTGCTACAGCACACCTGGATTCAAATTTCAGAATCCTGTAGACACACCACCTCTCCAGGTCCAGGATAGGCAGGATGGGGGGAGGGGGGATACCTGCTTTAACCAATCAGGTGAGACTCCATGACCCAGGAGTCAGGGGTCAGAGGTCACCAACCCTGATCCAGCAAGTCCACAATCTTACATTTTCTTTAGAGCACACTGGCAGTCCCATGACACAACACTGTTTCACAGACTATTACATTACCAGTCAGCTTGCTGTGTGGCAAATCTGTCTTCGTACTGTCAATCACTGGTAAAAATACCATTGTTGAAACCACAGAAAAGTCCAGAAATAAAAGTAAACCAACTTCAGTTTTCATTTCCTGTCCAACACACAAAGCAACCATACATTGTTGTAAGAAAACGCAATATAATACTTTAAAATGGCCTGAAAAATTAAAAAAAAAAGACTTCTCATGAAATCTCTCTTCAAGTTCGGGTGCGAAGATAAATGTACCCTTTGAACAATATTTCATACAGTTAAAAATTATAGGTATTATGATACAGTTGACATCAGTAGTAGCATATAATGAAATCTTCTAAGCAGTAGAACTCACTTCAGATAGACCAATCGTGTGCAGGATTGCCACATTTGACCTTTTTTGGATAGAGGCTTACTTTAGAAGGAGGGTTCTTTAATTATAATATGCTGTCAGAGATAATTACGAATCAGAACAGGGCGATTTATCATTTTTACATTCATCAGTTGTGTTTTTGCCTTCTTATTTTTTCAGGTTTTCAACTGAGTTTAAGTAATATTGCATTCCCACCTTGTAAGCATGAACAAGTATTAGACCGTCTTGTTCAGTGATATGTGCTGTCTACCTCAGTATTAATAACTGACCCATTATAAGTTTTCCTTTTCCATATTCGATTCTGCAAGGTATAACACTCACATTTAAACAATGAAAGAGACTGTTCTGCAAGTCAATTTAAAACAATTAATGTTTTGTATACACACGAAAGTTTCTTTCCCAGGCCTACAAAACACACATAAATCATCTTGTTCATGTTTGAATCTGAAAAGTGTTTGTTTAACTAGATTCTGAGGTAGGAGGAGCGTGGACGTGGAAGGGTTACTCCGTTACTTGGCTGCTCTCTTCTTTAACACACCACGCCACTGCATTTAATTATAGTCTCAGGCCTGAAACACAAATTCTTGTCTCATGAGAATTGGCAGCTAACGGGATCATCTGCAATTTGCACAGACTTGTAAGATGCGCTTTGACCAATTTTGTCAGGATAATCGGTTCAATTATTTGAGGAATGACCTGCTGTGGTCCTTTTCATGACAGGCGATCTGCCAGGGACTTATCACGTGCATGTTGTCACGAAGCGTAGATCAGGACCCTGTGCAGATGGTAGAATCTGGAAGGGAGTGAAACAGACACAAGGAGGAGACGACTAGGAACTGGGCAGGTTGAAGACCAGGGGGGCGTGAGGATGGTGCACTGGTGCTCAGGGGGGGGCGTGGTCCAGGCGAACAACTCCAAGGGAGTCAAAAGGGAAATCCAGGGTGTAGAGCAAGAGTCCAGAGCCGGGCAATCCATCCAGGAGAGACAAGACAGAATTTAAGAACCGGAGTGGGATCCGGTGCAGGGAGGAGGAATTAAAATGGGTTAACGGGGCCAGGCACTCCGAGCCCCGGACCCAGATGGTCAGGACGCCGTGGTGAAGCCTGTGCCATCGGGTCACTCCAGGACCCCCTGGTAGGCGGGCTTCCGGGCGTCCGTCTCCCAGTGCTGAACCCAGAATGGTAGGAACGCCTGGCTTATATAGAGAGGGGCTGGATAGGAGGCAGGTGCACAAAATCAACTAAAACGGAAAAAGCCGGAGCGCCCCTAAGAGGAGGGACTTACGATCGTGACACTTGTAGTGAAAATGAAGAATTCGCAAGGGTTCAGAACCTGCAGATTGAAGTGTGACATGTAAAACCCTCTGGATTGTGAATCATTTAAGGCAAAAGGGTTGGTCACCCCTGGATTAAAGCAGATTTAAGAGGGGGTGCAATCAGGAATGATTGACTTCATTCATCTTGCACGATTTATGGGACATCATTACATTTTCTCTCCAGCATATCTGAACTTGTGTTCTACGGCGCTTAGCCTGCTGCACCTGTGTGCCATACAAGGCAGAGTACCCTTCAGTGTCGACTTGGTCCCGTGCTTGTGTGCGAATGTGCAACCTTGCACACGCAGGTGCACGTTTTCCTTCTCCTCGCCCTTGCATGAGAGGAAGAAAAAACAAAAGACTGATCTGTTGGTTTTCCTGCCGTCTGTGCAGAAATGTGCTCGAGTCACGATGCATACATAAGCAGAGCATCCCAGAGGCATCGCAGTGAACGTTCAGGTCTGTCGTCAGGAGCAGTGCCTTCACAGGTTGTGTTGTCAAGAACGATCACACGTGGAAGGGAGATGCTGAATTCAGGGTTGGTTTTAGGGGGTGCCAAAGAACACTGGACCATTTACAAACATTTACAAAGATGGCGGCCATTTGGTCAATGTAGCCCATTTAGTTTGAAGGCTGCTGACATCAGTTGTGCTGTAAAGGCGGCCCACAAATACGAAACAAGAACTTCTGCTTCTGGGAAGTTCCTATTCTTTCTTTTTTGTCCGTGACTTAACGTGAGAGCAGGTCTCTGTTAGGAAAGCAGAAGGAGGCTACAAATAATGGGGAGGATGAAGACCCAATGCGAATCAAAAGCGAAGAAGCTGAGCAAGAGCTACATTACGTTACTTAACCGTAGTATGTACACCATATATTGTAGATATAGCTTTGTAGCACCAGAGAATGTTGGCAGTGTCTTGGCAGCCGTGCCAGTGTGATAAAAGTGCCCCGTACAGGTTGGTAGCAGAGGCGCAATCAGACAAACAATTAATGTTAATTAATTAATGTTTCTTTATTAGCCCTATACAATTTCTCACATACCCCAGCTTTTCTCCAGGGAGACACAGACACAGAGACAGGGAGAGGAGCTTGGGGTCAGAGCACAGGGTCTGTCATTGTACGGCGCCCCTGGAGCAGTTGGGGTTAAGGGCCTTGCTCAGGGGCCCAACGGAGTAGGATTCCTCTGCCGGCCGCGGGATTTGAACTGGCAACCTTCCGGGCACAGGCGCAGATCCTTAGCCACAGAGCCACCGCTCCGCCCAATTTATTCAATTGGACAGAATAAATGAGTACAGTCCTTGTGAGAGGTCTGAACTTTTGACTATATGACTTCCCTTCCCTTATGAAAGAGTTCCTTTAAGAAAGACTACCTGTGTAAATGTACCGGAGGATTTTTGCACTTTTGCTGAGACTTTGCCACGGCTATATCATTTCTGTGGTTTACAGTTTCTGTAGGCACTTGCAGTGTATTCAGTGTGTAGGTTCTGCATCTAGAAAGTTTGGGAAACCACTGTAAAGCTGTGAAAACTGGACGTCAAGTTTTTGCAATGTGCACTGAATACTTACCCACGACTGTAATCCAGCAACTGATGCGACACGTCCTCCCACCAGGAGATTCCTGGTTCAAATCCTGGCTGTGCCCCTGACTTGCTCTGCCTTCCTGTTCAATGACATGGAACTGGAAGACCTGCTGTGTCTAACTCAGCAGTAGTCACTAACGTGCCATTCACAGCTCTGGGGTCGAAGTGAACTTCTTCCAATTCAGGATGGATATTTTGGATGGTGTATTCTGGGAAGGGGTTAGAATGATACACTGAGGTGACTGATGCTGAAAAACAAATGTATTTATATAGAAGAAACCGTCCAGCACCTTTTCTTTTAGTACGTGCTGAAAATACTGACAGTACCTTTGCTTACGGAACAATAAAACAAAATTTCCTGAGGGTTTAAAAAAAAGCTTGAAAGTCCAGTCAACGATCCATAATGCAATATTCTTCAGAAATAATGTGGATTTCTGAGTTTTTGCTGCTAGACATTCGGTATGGGCCCAGCGATGACTTTTTGTTTTGTTTTGAGGGTGTTTGGAAAACCTTGCTCGCCATCTGAGGCAGTGGTCATTTCAAAACAGGAAAGCCACAGAGCAGGCCGGGCCACCTCAGCCTCTGAGCAAGCTGGGGGGGGAGTGACAGGCAGAGGCGAAAAATAACTCCATTGTGAACAGAATCGGAGGCCACTTCTGCAATTCACCGCGCCCACACTGAGGGCTTAACCCTTGCCAGGGCTGAACAAAACAACAATCACACAAGCAGGGACGAGGGCGGCCGCACAGCTCTGGGGCTCTGGGTCCAATTCCAGACCTCAGGTACCATCTGTGTGGAGTTTGCATGTTCTCCCAGGGTTTGCACGGGTTTCCTCCTGGTGCTCCTCCCACAGTTCAAAGACTCACTCGTAGGCTGACTGGCTTCTGGGAGAATCGGCCCTGGTGCGACTGTGTCGCTGTGTGAGCCCTGTACTGGACAGGAGTCTCATTCAAGGGTGTAGATACACAGATACACCCTTGTGTCCGTTGCTTGTCGGACTAGGCTCTGGCTTCTCCCACGACCCTGCACTGGGTTATTGAAAACGACGTGATGAGGCTGTGAGGGGGGCACGAGGACTGAGCTCTGCTGCAGGCTGTGTCTCGGAGGGCTGCAGAAGAATTCGCCCTTGTCACGGGCTAGAACTTCACACCTACAATGAATGCCATTGCAGAACAGGGTCTGGCACCACCAAAAACCAGGACTGGAGCTCACAGGACTCAGTCTCCTGTGAAAGAAGGGACGCCGGAGGCTCGGACTGCAGCTCCGATGCGAGAAGGGGCTGATTCTGGTTTCTCTCTCCTGCCCTGTACCCATACGCACGCGGTCTCTGGGCGGGTCTTTTCTTCGGAAACGATTCTCAAGCGGGTGACGCAGCCGCGCGCTGACAGCCCCTTCGAACGTAAATCTGTGGTCTGGGTCAGCTTCTGCCTCGAAAAGGAAGTGGAAGTCGCAGCAGACAAAAAAAAAAGTGCAAAAGAAATATAAAAGACACGGCAGGGCACGAAAAACGGTCATCCGCATACATTCACACATGGCCCCGCTGAAACCTTCTCGCTGTAGTGAAACGTAACTCAGAACTACTGAAGTCTCAACAGATGGAACAGGAAGGCTTGCTCTGTACAAGGAATGCGATCGATTAATTGTGCACAAAGATGTTTTGGTATCGAGATGTACAGAAGCTTATTAGCACCACGGAGAAACGAATAGCTCGTTTATACGAGATAGTACTGCATTTAGACGAGAAAATGACTGCGTTTAAATGAGAAAATTATTGCGTTTAAATGCAAAACTTAATTTGTGAACAACGTTGCCTACTATATACTGTATATTGCATTGTATTGTATATGCAGTAATATTGTCCATTGCAAAGTAGCAGTGACTTTAGGTAGGTAGGTACTTTATTAATCCCATGCGGGAAATTCAAGTGCTACAGCGGCCAGGCACAATCAACACAGTACAGCACAAATGTAGTAATACAGTAATACAATACAATAAATTTAAAAAAAAATGGAATAGAGAATTACAAACAAAACAGAAAGAGGACACACACACACAAAGAATGAATGTACCGAATACAAGGAAGATGTAATACACAGTATAGATATTGCACACTCCCAAGCATGTTGCACAGAGTGGGTAACTATTGCACAGTTGTGAAAAATAAATTGCCCATTCCACTTCCGCGTATTGCAGTAACTATAAACCAGATGTAAACAGAACACCAGTAAATCAAACTGTTTAACAACAGTAGAATATCGTCACACTCCTAAAAAAATAATGTAATGTTCTGTCTTTTGTATACATGAAGTGCAACACTGTGTCAGGAAGCACTCCCGGGTTAAACGCGTAGTGTTTTCGCCGTTTCTCTGACAAGTAGAAACGACACGGCTCTCCAAACGCATGCTGTTCTTCATGTGAGGCTCACTGGGAAGTCGTCGTAAATGTACTCCGTCCAATGTTTAACGGGTCGGCAAAAAGACCTATGTACAGTACACGTTTCTGCCGTTTCACAAGAGCGTCATACCTTTGGAAAGCCGTGTCATTGGTACCTGTCGGAGAGACGGCGACAAACACACGCGGTTAACCCAGGAGCGCTCTCTGACCCGGTGTTCTGCTGCATGCATGCTAGAGACGGCACCCGTGAAAGTTCTGTCCAGCAGCCAGTCATGTGGCCGTGAAAGACACTTCAGCTGAACCGATCGACCCTGAACCGTGAGACAACTGGCCGGGTGGAGATCCAGGGAGAAAGACGGGCTGTTCGGGTGGTCTTTTTTCGCGTGCTCTTTTTTTAAGCCATTTTTTCTTTAAATTACAGAGGGTTTGTCATCCCACCTAATCGTACTGTAAGAGGTAGCCCCCTCTTCTTTTTGTAAATCCGCTAATGTTTCAGAGGGGTCTACCAATTCACATCTATCTGTAAGCAAAAACAAAAGCCACTTATTCTCATTAAGGATTATGGCGACCCATTCCCAAATTTGAGGGATTAAAGAGAGACAGCATTCATGCTATAATCCAGCTAGTCTATGGAAGGATGCACACTCGCACAGGCACAATTTACTGACACCAGTTGACTCATCCAGCGTGTCTATGGTGGGTAGGATGAAACCAGGGCACCTAGACAATCATAGAGAGAGCATGCAGACTCCACCCAGAAAGGTGAACCCCCAGTGCTAACTCGAACCCAGGACCCGAGCGGTGCTGCCCTCAATCAGCGACAGTGCATTTTTAAAATACATCCTCACCAAAATGCAAACGATCAATGCTGGGAAGGTTTGTGAAGTGGGTGGCACTGTCCAGCACGATTAACTCTTTTTCTCCCTCCTGCAGAAACAAGGCGGAGAGAGCATCTACACGGTAAGAGACTCGAAGTATTTATCATATACCACCTCTAAGATCGGGAGAAAAAAAAACACTGTATCGACGTCTGCTTCATGATGATGAATCTCTCATCACTATGTCTGGATTCGGTCTCATGGGCATTGTGGTAAATAGTAAATTGGGTGTAATGGCGGCTTCCTTCGCTTTCACGGTGTTTTGATAAAGGACGCGGATGATTTCCTGGAACAAAAAAAGCTGTGTTTTTTTCCCCGCTTTACTATCAAGATTTGCGGACGATTTGATACCCAGTGTCCTGATATCATCATCGAGAGAGGATGTTAAGCAAATACGCGCCCTCCGAGTTTTGTTTCTTTTTTTTTTCTGCGGAGGCTTTAACCCCAAACAAATGCAGTCCCAATATTTGGACTAAAGTTATGACATCGAGTGCTCTTCAGTGGTGTAAAAACGATTTGAACGAATTTAAATTAAATTTAATTCTATTTGGGAAGGGTCTCATTTCCTTTGCCGATTTTGCTTTGTGGCACAGGAACCACATTTTGCGTAGCTTTATTTTCACTGGTAGAGTCGGGTACAAATTTCCTCCTGTCCTGTTCAGAACCATTCTGTTTCTGCCGTCACACTGCTACTGTGATGTCACCTCTGTGACGTCATGATCACCAGAAACGTGAGCTCCCGCATACTGTTTGGTGGGAATTATTCAAGAGTAACGCGCCAAAGTAACAGTTTTCATATACACAGGAACTGAATTTACCGTCAGTGGCGGATGAAAGACTTACCTGTAAAAATGCAAATGTCTTTAATTCAGTCTGCTGTTGCATTGTCTTAAAAGACGAGTTTCTGTGAGTTCTGTGACTTTCTGCGTTCATGACGGGACCGTTTACGGTATTGCCTATTTTATTTGAAATGCAATTTCAAAGTTTCTTAACTCGCAAAGTGTGTGTTTTTTTTGACAAACCCTCGCTTGATCCTAACCCCATCCCGATGTCGGTCCAGGGTCTGGCGCCGCGACCGCAGGACACGTACGAGACCATCTCGCCCCAGAAGAAAGCAAGAGAGTGACGAGCACGCGCGCGCCTCGCGGACATCGCCGGCCGCCGTGTCCCCGTGACTGTACCTTCACTGCTATGTGGTTCATATCAGGATAATGTCAAGTCTCGGTTCTGTAAAAAAATGGGTGAAAATATCTGTTACACATATACCTACTAAATGTAGTTCAGGTGGGGAGCTGCGTCAGCATGCGTAGGCTGCAAAGGAACAAGTAATGGTTTATTCCCTGCTGAAAAAAAGAAGAAAACACAACGTTTCTGCCGTGGAGCCTTCTTCAGGTGTTGCTCACTCCTGAAGAAGGCTCCACGGCCGAAACGTTGTGTTTTATTCCTTCTTTTTTTCAGCATGGAATAAACCTATTATTTATCTACTAAATGGCCTTTTTTCCGGGTGGCATAATTTGAGAGATCTTCCTGTAGAAATACAGATATTACATTACCCCCCACTAGGGCTCCAGTAAAATATGCTGCGTGTTACTGCTGTTGCCCACGCAGACGAAATGAGAGTCTGTGTGTTTCCCGTACTTGTCTTTCCTTATTTATGGATTCTCCGGGCCTCAGCTAACGACGCATTGTTTAGTTTCCTAGTAATTTATTTGACTTTTTTTAAAGGTATTTCAGCTAGAAACCTACCGGAATCACCCACTAGCTCATAAGCTGTGTTCTTTTTCCAGTGGGCGCGGACTGCAGTTAGGGCATTGCGGACTGTGAGAAGTACCGTTTCAGTTACGTGTTTTCAAAACGTAAAACGGAACCAGAGCTGCAGACCCGTAGGCCGCAAAAGCTACCTTGGACGTGGACGTTTTAAGCGGTGTTAGTCGAAGCAAAAATGTTCGTTAAAACATCTCTGTTACCTCCTGAATGTATTCCCTAATGAACCTTGTTGAAAACGTTGACTGGTTTCTTGCTGTGGTCGAGTGAAAACATAGCTTGTTTTTCTTTTCTTGAAGGCGGACGAAAAGTCGCCTCCCGTATTTCCCGAATTTCTTGAAAAGTACCCCCCAAATTACAGAAAACTGCGCGGTTTTTCAAATATACCACAGGAACATGGAAAGCGAGCCTCAAATCAGCACAAAAAAGGCGCGTAATACATCGTATATTTGAACGCCGCATTACGTAACAGCCACCTGGAATTAAGCTGATAAAAACTGATAAAGTTTTGGACCAGGTCTTCTTTTTGTTACACAAAGATTCTCAACTTTGTTTTTTTTTTTTGGACAATATCACTCCATTTTTTTATTTAATAAAAAAACGGTGCAATTTCAAAGACAAACATTGTTTGCATATTTGGTTGCCGATAACTTTAATCATTAAGGAAATGTTACATATTCTAACCCTTTTCTGCAAACGGTACGTAGTTAGAACACGTTCATGCTTTATTGCGACAAGCGTGCTTTTTCCGAAGGTCTTGTGTGTGTTCTGTCTTCTATTTTTAAAACTGTTTTTTTTTAAGATGTAAAGGATGTTTTTTTCCCTCATGTTATTGTTAACTTTCCTGTAACAGTATAAGTTCTTTTTTTTGGCAGACCTAAAAATAAAATGTAGCTAGACATTTCTGTCTGGATTTTATAGAACATTCTTCCGCAGTACATTGTTTCCAGTGTTTCGCATGTCCTTTACAATATTTAAGTAAAGGATTTCATGCAGTACTGAACTATTAAAAGTTACTAACCACTACTTAATTCCCCCTTTCTAATAAATAAAGTGCTAAATACGTTGTCTCGATTCAATGCGATGCCTACTACTAATACTGCTACTAATAAAAAAGTTTGCTGATCGCTTCATATATTTGAAAAGCTCCAATCCATAAAGTTATCATCCTGGGTGCGCAGGCATCTAATAAAAGACACAGCATCACATTTTTAATCACAGCCCTTGTTATTTGGCCCAGCGTCCTGGCCGAATTTCCCCCTGGTCTTTACCAGTCATGGCCTCCTAATAACCCCCATCTCTGAACTGGCTTCATCACTCTGCTCTCCTCCCCACTGAGAGCTGGTGTGTGGGGAAAGAACGGAACAACAACCAAGGGGGGCCGCAAACTGGTGCTGGTGGAGGGGATCCCCATTACCTGTAAAGCACTTTGAGTGGAGTGTCCAGAAAAGCCCTATATAAGTGTAAGCAATTATTATTATTATTAGTAGTAGTATTATTATTATTATTTCTGCATATGTGATACAGAGACCCAATCCAAATGTTCTACTGCAAATGTTCAATGTGGTTTGGAAAAGCACAGCTGTAACCATGTGGTTCTTTCAGAGATGTAACTGAGCTCAATCACTGCTGCATCTTCGAGTTTTAGACATAAGACACTGCTGTTTTCACCCTGCTGGTAAATAAACAGGTGTTTATGGTAGAAAATGTGTCTCTAGCATGCTGGGATAGTACTTTTATTATTATAGGAGCTCAGGTGGGGAACTGGGCCAGCATGCGTAGGCTGCAAATGAACAAGTAATAGGTTTATTCCATGCTGAAAAGAGAAGAAAGAAAAACAAAGTTTCGGCCATGGAGCCTTCTTCAGGTGTGAGCCTTCTTCAGTCACACCTGAAGAAGGCTCCACGGCCGAAACGTTGTGTTTTCTTTCTTCTCTTTTCAGCATGGAATAAACCTATTACTTGTTCCCATTATTATTATTATTTTTATTACTGTCCATAACGTTTGATCCCCAAACAAATTTCAACATTTCTGCCCTTATCTCAAGAGCTTCACTGCACATCTCGCTGTATTACATATGCAGAAATAACCAGGGCTGTGATTAAAAATCTGATGCTATGTCTTTTACCAGACACTTATACTCATCTGAAGGGGGCCCAGTTCATCCAGCAGTGGGTAGGGTAGGAAAGAGGAGGGGGGTCAGATTGTAGAAGCCCGGAATGGAACAGAGCCAGTGCATCGACTTCAACACCCTTGCTCTTCCGAGAAACTTGCTATGGGATCATTAATGACCAAGTAGTCAGGACCTGGCTTTATTGTCTCATCTGCAGGATGGTCCCTCTTACAGCCCCTGGTCACCATAGCGGTTGTAAATTCTGGTTTAGAAGGAAGAGTGCCTCCTACTTGTTCTCCAACACCACTTCCAGCAGTAGTCTAGTTTTCCTTGGAAGTCTCCCTTCCTAGGGATGATCTGGTTCATCCTGCCTTAACTTCAGAGATCCGATAAGTTCAGGCTACGAGGCGAAACGGCTGCTGCCATTATCTTTCTTGTAGTTGTTTTTTACCCCAGGAATTCCACACTTTTATCTAAACTAACATCTTTCCGTACGTAGATATAAGAGCCCCTTGATGCAGACTCACCATGTCTTCTCCTAAACAAATAGACCAGACTGGTTATTGCAATGCAGAAGTGATTTTTGAATACAGACCCGTTTGGGGAAACTTCAGCTGGTAAGTAAGCCAAGAGTTGTGAATGCCTCTGGCTCTCTGTAAAGGATCAAGGCTCCGACATGACCCTGCGCACACCTCCTGTACCGCCAACACTGAGAAACACAGAAGGGATTTTCTAAGGGCTTCTTCAACTTCAGGATCGTGGGGGAGCGGGAGCCTATCCCAGCAAGCAACAGGCAGAAGGCAGGATACGCCATGGATGGGAAGCCAGTCAATCACAGGGCAGACACAGACACAACACCCACTATGCTCACTTTTCCCAAAAGTCAACTAACCCACCAGCATGTCTTCGGACTGGGGAAGAAAAAACCACGTGAACGCAGGGAGAACATACAAACCCCACACAGACAGCACCCCATCTCTGGAACTGAACCCAGGGTTTCATCCCTACAAGGCAGCAGCGCTGACAACTGAGTCACTGTACCGCCTCTACGCTACATTGTAAATCCCGAAATAACAATGTGGACATGTGACAGGGCTGGTTGAGGAACTGACTTTTTTTTTCATATGAAATGGCTAAAAGCGTCTGCCACCCCCCTCCTTCCTTTAAAAAAAGACAATGATGTCAGTTTTGCAGAGTTAACCCAAATTCCTTTGCCTTCTCACGATAAAGTGTCGGATGTTTAATAACACCCCTGGGTATCAGGTACAGAGAGAAGTGCCGGGGAGCTCTTGTGATCGGAGCGAAATTGTTGAAATGAGTTTTGTATTCGTGCCTGTCGATTCCCCCTTTCAGACACTCCCCTGAAAAGAGTGTGGAATTTGGGCCGGTCATGGATGAAACCTTCTCGGAAAAAAACAAGGCGGGCAAAACCGCCGTCGAGGATACACGCACGAGTCCTTTGCTCCGTCTCTGAATTTCTCTCCGAGGCTTTGAAACTTTTCAGAAAAATTGAAACAGGCATTGAATTTTTTAATGATTTAACCAATGTCCCCCCCCCCCTCAAAAAAACCCCGCAGTTGAGTTCTAATTATTGTTATTGTAAGTGACGACGAAATTGTGGTTTTCTGCTGCTTGTATTTGGAAACCTGGTTCCTGTTCTGTCACCATGGGAACGGCACCTAGCTCTGGCCACTGGCTGGCCAAGTCATTTCCTGTTTAAGTAAGCAAAAAAAGACACTTCCTGTGTAAATTAAGAGTATGATCTAGCTATCTAGCTATCTATCAAAGATAGACACCTTTCAGGGTTATGGTGTATTTTAAGAGCAGGTGCGCACAATGTATTATGGGAAAGTTAATAAAAACACCTGAACTGTTTCTCCAAAAACACCTTGCAGGGAGGCAAAGTGGTGTGGTAGTGAGCATTTCTGTCTGGCAGTGGTGGGGCCTTGGCTCCAATTCCTTGGGGTGCTGTCTGTGTGATGTTTGTATGTTCACCCCATGTTTGCATGGATTTCCTCTGGGTGCTCTGGTTTCCTCCCACAGTCCAAAAACACAGTGGTAGGTTAACTGACTTCTGGGGAAATTGGCCCTGGTTTGTGTGTGTGTGTGTTTATATTTCTTTGTGCCCTCTGACCTGTGATGGTATAACTTGCCTTGCACCTGTTGCCAGCTGGGATACACTCTGACTCCTCAAACGTCCCTAAACCAAAAGAAGTGGTTTGAAAATGGACGAATGGAAGCAAATAGCCAACCCTAGGGAAAACAAATCGCCAAAGGACCAGTGAATCAAGTGCTGGTTCTTAAATGCCAAGAGTATTAGGAACATGCAAGGTATACAAACTATATCAGCACATGCTTATCATGAAACCGAGATTCCTGCAACATAACACTGGTTGACGGAGAGAGAGAAGAGTAGAACACGAGAGGACACACAGCACTCCGGAGACACAGCAGTTAAATAAACGGCTACA